TAAAGTTTGACTAACTTTATAGTTATTAAGTGTTAATAATATTTATGACATTAAATAGGCAATACTATGAAAATATTTTTCATAAAATGTAATGCATGCTACTTAGTACTTATTTGGTAATCTAAATTTCGGTAGTTTTTGTTTTTTATATAAACTTGACCGAACTTAATAAGTTAGATTGACTATGAACAAAACCAGAGTGACATGCTCTTGGGACCAAGGGAGTAGCTGTCACTAATGGCTGTAGACTACTTAGCATGGTGGCTATGGACTTAATTGGATTGGTATATAGTACACATGTTTATGGCATCCTTGATATATAGTACGAGATAGTTACCAGCTCTAAGACAACTTTTGTAATAGTATCAACTTAGAGTATATGCATGAGATTAGCTCTTGATCAAGATATAACTTTTCTTACTCTTCTATTAAATATGCAATAGTATGCTTAGAGCTAGCTCATAAGTCATCATTAGAGGTGCCCTTAGAATAGAGAGAAGGGCAAGGGAAGAAAGTATGCTAGCCTCTATCTCTTATTTCGTCTATCTCTCTTGCATTTTTCAAGATTGCAACCCATGTCCAACCCATGGAGAGAAAAAAAATATAGGACTAGCTTAAAAAAAAGCAGATAATGTGAATCACCATAGAGATGTGTTTTAGACTATATAATAGGAGATATGTCAGAGACTAAGGGCCTGTTTGATCCCTCCTCCAAATTAGAGCTCTAAAACTCTAGAGTACTTTAGCTTAGTTTTGAGATCCAAAGTCTGTCATGTGAGGTGGGCTAAAGTTCGGATGTAATTTTAGACCAACTATTTAGAGATTTTAGCTATAATACTTAGAGGTCTAAAGTTTAGAGGAGCGGATCAAATAGGCCAGGTCTAAAGTTTAGAGGAGCGGATCAAATAGGCACTAAAACTAGCCATCAACTATAACTACTGGAGACACTCTCTGCCACAATCAAGAGCGAGAAAATCCTACAAAAGTCCTATATCTGTATAGTGCATATCTTTTTATAGTTTTGTCCTTACTACCAATCATTAGCTCGTTAGTCAGAAGGAACAAAATATAGAAATTACAAATAATTCATCGTCCACAAAACATGCATTTTACTATTTTTTGGATAGATTAAAAGATGTAAAGTTAATATGATGTCCTGTTAATTAGCGGTTGTTCTCATTTACGGAGGATCGGGGCCTAGCTCACATAGACCCCACTGAGTGTCTAAATACTAGGGCCTTGTTTAGTTCCCAACCAAATTCTCAAAAAGTGCTATAGTAATCATCACATCGAATTTTATGATACGTGCATGAAGCATTAAATGTAGATTTAAAAAAACTAATCTGCATACAGCTTTGGTTGGAAATTATGCGAGACTAACGCTTTTGAGCATAATTAGTCCATGATTAAACACTAATTGCTAAATAAAACGAAAAGTGCTACAATATGCAAATTCCTAAAATTCGCGAACTAAACAAGGCCTAGAATGATATGCTTTGTATTTTCGTGAAACAAAATCTGGATCATATAGTTTTTTTTTATGGAGGTTGCATATTCTCTCACCGTAGCACACTAAGGTCCTCTTTAGAATACAGAAATTTCCTAAGAATTATTTAAGAGGTTCACAGAAACCAGTACAGTATGTTTTTATAGAAAAACATGAAAAACAGAAAAATAAATCTTGCAATCAAAGGGGGCTAAAAGACAGGGAAAGAAATACCAGGCACATCGTAGGGAGTAATCACTAGTGTACGGGTTGACGTCTGGACGAGCTGCACCTGCAGCACTGGTGTCTAGTGCAGTGTACAGTAGTTGCTCACTCGTGCCTTTCTTTAGTTCTCCCTTGAAATTTACTCCCTCATCGAATTTGCTTTGGTACACTACGACATGTAATATTAAATATAAACTAAAAATAACTAATTATATAATTTACTCCTGAAATTTACTCCTCATCGAATGCTTGACACGAATCTTTTTAAATATAGACTAAAAATAACTTTATATAATTTACGCTTGACGGTGCACGATTTAACAATGCGGTGCAACAAAGAATATATGTGTTAATAATAGATTAATTAGATTTAATAAATTCATATAGAAGATTATCGATGAATTCAATAATTTATTTTTTTATTAATATTCAAACACCGAATACGACCCTCGACGTAACACTCGACGAGACACCCTCTGAATTTGAACAAGCCATCACTGTCACTTTTTTTTTCCTCCAAATTTCTTCAGAAGCCGGTCAGAGGCGCCGTTGCTACTCCAACTCCCCCCCCGTTTCATTCCTTCTCTTAAATGCACCTCTTTCTCTCTCCTCCTTTCCGTCCTGTCCCTCTCCTCCTGTCCTGGGAGCCACCCCCTCTCCCGTCTGCCGTCTCCCCAGACTCCCAACAAAGCCCCTGCCCCCAGCGGCACCCAGCAGCACTGCAGCAGCGCACAAATCCTCGCCCTGCCGACGGGGGCGCGCCACGGCCGAGCCCTGAGCCCGCACACGCATTTGCTTCGGCTCTCGGTGCGCTCAGCTCCGCTGTACCGACGGCTTTCGCCGGCGGAGGTAAACCCCGCCTCGCCCTCGCTGCTACTGCTTCTGCTCCGGCTCTCCGTTGAAACCCTGCTGCTCCGAGCCCTGCTTCCTTTGCGATTTCGGTTGCTCTTCCTGCGCGCGCTCATCCTCCTAGGCCGCTTCGCGGGATGTGCATACCTTAGCTAAGCGTTTCGCCGCTCCCTGGGAAAAAAATCTCGTCTTTTACTTTAGGCAATTTTTCTTGAAATGGACGGGGATCATGTTGCATTTGTTTGGTTTGATTAGACTTTAGAGAAGAAGGATTTTTAGCCGTGTTGGTTGTGTTTTTTTTTCATTAAAAAAGAAAAGGCAGAGGTGAACGTTTTGGGTTATGCCCTTGCATTTGGAGTTTCAGTTGTACCTGGCCTGCCGAATTCCCAAATTATTGATACAACCGTACCGTTTTCTCTCCTCTGCAATGTCGATTTGACGAGGGTTCCGACGGGGAAAGGTTGGTGCTTTCCCTGTCCTTCCACGACTTGACATCCTGTGTGTACTCAATAGGAGCCCAAATCTACGCATTTCTCCCATTAGGTATTAAGGTATAGGTATTCTCATGATTTTGGCTGAACCTTACCGTGCTTGCATCAATGGGTGTTTTGTGCTCAGTTACACTGATTGATGTTTGGTGGCGCTGTTTAGCTTCCTGTTTCCGGTAGTTTAGGTTAGCTGGGATATATGCTTCTACAGTAATGTTGTCTCTGGCGCCAACGCCAAACGACCGGTGCTGTGAGCAGCACATACATCCATAATGCTCCACTAACTTCACCCTTTTCCTTTCAGTCTTGCTGTTTTAGTTACCTTGATTGAAATGGACAAACGTTGGATCTCCTTTTGAGTTCCAGTTCTTGTATCCACTTGTGTGGTGGATCAAGACATGGGCTGTAACTGCTACTAGTAAACAGTAGCCGCTTTGCTATGATTTTTTTTTTCATCTTCTTCCTGTAGCATGTTCCTCCTATTGCTTAGAATTGACTCAAAATAAAATAAGTCCCACTTGAGCTATAAATTTAATCTCGTACCCTCGAATGGCCTGCGGTCAATCTTGGGTTTCCCACTTGGAGTTAGAAGCTACCACTTGAAAAATGCGTGGATCCTTGCAAACAACTAATTGGCGTTGATCTTGGACTTCGGAACCCTGCTCCCAGGTCACTTGCTGGCTTGAATAATGAATTGGTTCGTCTCAGGGTCTCTTTAAGTGGAGGTTAAGTAACTCTGTACTGTTCTAGAATCTAGATCTTGCAGTCCCTAAACAATGAAGTAAATCTCCGCGCACATTGGCATGTGCGGTAGTTTCCCACGTACACGTCTTCCTGGCAGTGGGATCTTCCCGAGTTCCCATTTGAATTAGTTTAGGTTAAATTAGCTAAACCCTTGCCTTTGTTTCTTTCTCTTTTTGTACAACTTTTGTTAGTGGCGTCTCAGATCATATTAGTCTTTTTCGGTGATCACTTTGCAGAAGCCTTTATGCGATGGTAAGGCTGCTCTGCTCCATGTTAGTCCTAAGAGGCTAAGAGTGCAGAAAGTTACGACATGATAATTTGTTTGTTCAATATTGTTGCGTCTCAGTGTAAGAATGCTCTCCATGACAGCCTGAGATACTCTTTCATGTGAACAAGTAATAAACATCGGGTACATGATGTGCCATGCTCATATTTGTGAACGCTATGATGAGTCCAGCTTTATTCTTGCTCCCTCTTTTTCTGCCTACTTTGTTGATGCTTTTGACTTTTATATGCTGACCGGATCATTTCACTTTTTCTCCCTTTCTTTATCTTTATTTTCTTTATGTCCACGATTTTATAGGTCCTGTTTTTTTTTTTTTTTTTACTATTGGGTTCCATTCTTTGAAGGTGGAACTTATGTACCTTGTTTTTACGTTGCCACGTAGCTCAGTAAGCCCAGCAGCTACGGTGCTGTGCTCTTGTGCACCTAGGGGATATATACCAACATTAAGCTTAGAATAAATATTTCTCAGTGGCCTGTAATACATACTGATTTCAAATGATACATTTTGCATGCATTCTATAATGAAACCATGAAAAACAAGTTGCATTGGTTGGAATGAGAACTCTGTAATCATTAGACATTGATGGGAATTTCTTCTTTCCAAAGTATCATGGTCAGTGTCATGAGTCACTTGCTGGAAAGGAATGTTTGTTGCGCTACCCCACTGCGTTTTGCTGAGGCATGTGCACTTTTGCATCAACACACACATTTTTTTTGGTTAAGTCCAGGGCATGCAATGATTCCTGACATGTGTTCAGTTGCCTTCTGAAGAAACACTCACCTGCATTCGACATCTTAATGTCAGTATGGTAGCATTTGTCACTGATTATGCTCAATTTTTTATTGAACAGGGTTGCTTACTTTGCCTGATATAGGCAATTGAATATGCTGCTCATTTAATTTGCCCAAGGAAACTCATCAGATGGATTGTCTCAATCTTAGGAGCTCTTTCCGTATTCTGCTCTCGATACAGTTGCTGCTATCATTGTTCAACACCTTGGTTGTAGCGGACTTAGCCTCGGAGAAGCAAGCCCTTCTCGACTTCGTCTCTGCAGTATATCATGGAACCAAGCTCAACTGGGACAAAAATACCTCAATATGTTCATGGCATGGCGTAAAATGCTCAGCGGATCAGTTACAAATTTTTGAATTGAGGGTACCAGCTGCTGGTCTTATTGGCGCAATTCCTCCAAACACTCTTGGCAAGCTTGATTCTCTTCAAGTACTGAGCTTGCGGTCTAATCGATTGACTGGAAGTCTTCCATCTGATGTGGCCTTACTTCCTTCTTTACGTTCCATATACCTACAGCACAATGAACTTTCAGGAGGGTTGCCTTCTTCCTTCAGTCCTAGCCTCAGTGTAATAGACTTCTCCTACAATTCCTTCACAGGAGAAGTGCCTGCAAGTTTACAAAACCTTACTCAGTTAACTGTCCTTAATTTGCAAGATAATTCTTTCTCTGGATCCATCCCTGATCTCAAGCTTCACAGTCTGAAACTACTAAATCTGAGCAACAATGAACTGAAAGGCTCAATTCCTCGTTCGCTCCAGATATTTCCAAAGGGTTCATTTTCAGGGAATCCTGGACTGTGCGGGCTACCTCTAGCTGAATGCTCATTTCCTTCACCAACGCCCTCACCTGAATCATCTTCATTGCCTCAATCTCCACCTTCGCCACATCATGATAAGAAACTAGGCACGGGTTTCATAGTTGCAGTTGCTGTTGGTGGGTTTGCATTGCTGATGCTAATTGTGGTTGTGTTGGTCATGTGCTCTTCAAAGAGGAAAGGCAAGGACGAGATTGATGTTGAATCCAAAGGTAAGGGTACTGCCACCAGGAGTGAGAAGCCGAAGCAAGAATTCAGTAGTGGTGTCCAAATTGCTGAGAAGAATAAGTTAGTGTTCTTGGAGGGTTGCACCTATAGCTTTGACTTGGAGGATCTACTGAGAGCTTCTGCAGAAGTCCTTGGCAAGGGTAGTTATGGAACTGCTTACAAAGCTATACTCGAAGATGGTACTGTTGTGGTAGTCAAGAGATTAAAAGATGTTGTGGCAGGGAAAAGAGAGTTTGAGCAGCAGATGGAGCTCATCGGGAGGTTAGGCAAACATGCAAACCTAGTCCCGCTACGTGCCTACTACTATTCCAAAGATGAGAAGCTTATTGTCTATGATTATATTGACACTGAAAGTGTTTCGGCCATGTTGCATGGTATGCTTTTTCACTGCTACAGACATATTACTGATGTGATATTTTTCAAAAACATTACTGATGTGATTGATCAATACTCAATTCAAGAACTAACAACAGGCCAGCATTCCTAAAAGCGCCAACCCCTGACAACAAGCTTAGCTTGAATCACATAACTTGCTGTATCTCTGCCATTTTATTATAGTCCTCTCAGTTTAATATCTAAAGTTATGTCACTGACTAGATATTAGTTGGATATTTTCTTCAATATGGTTGGAAAGAAGACTCACCTTCATAATGTATATCTTCCACTTGCCGAAGCCTGAAGCCGCACTTGTTTTGCTTTTACATAGCTTGACATTCTCATGCTACAGAGTGCAACTTGTGCCAAATAACTCGAGATATCAATTTGTTTTGTTAATGAGCGTTTCTTGCTGCATTTCTTGATCAACAGGTATCAGGGGTGTTACTGAGAAGACACCATTAGACTGGAACTCCAGAGTGAAGATCATCCTTGGGACAGCATATGGAATTGCGCATATACACACAGAAGGGGGCGCGAAGCTCACCCATGGCAACATCAAGTCAACTAATGTACTCGTAGACCAAGATCACAATCCTTCTGTTTCGGACTATGGCCTCAGTGCTCTGATGACTGTGCCGGTCAACGCATCTCGCGTTGTGGTCGGTTACCGTGCTCCAGAGACAGTTGAGAACCGCAAGATCACCCAGAAGTCCGACATCTACAGCTTCGGCGTCCTCCTCATGGAGATGCTCACAGGAAAGGCCCCACTCCAGACCCAGGGGAACGACGACGTCGTCGACCTGCCGAGATGGGTGCACTCGGTGGTCCGGGAGGAGTGGACGGCCGAGGTGTTTGACGTGGAGCTGATGAAGCACCAGAACATCGAGGAGGAGCTGGTACAGATGCTGCAGATAGCCATGGTGTGCACGGCAAAGTCGCCAGACCAGCGCCCGGCAATGGAGGAGGTGATCAGGATGATCGAGGGGCTCCGCCAGTCCACCTCGGAGAGCCGAGCGTCGTCTGATGAGAAATCCAAGGAGTCGAACCCTCCATCAGTGTAATCTTGGGCAGCTCCCTTCATCCGCTTCATCGGTTGCTGCCAGTTGCAGCTCATTTGATTTGTTAGCTAATTTATGATTTAGTTCATGTAAACCGTGGTTGGCATCAGGTGCATTCAGCCTCAGATAGTAAGAACTGAGCTTTCTCATTGAAAGTTTGAAACTCTGTATCTTGGTGAGTGTAGAATTCTTCCGCTGGAAAATTGAAATTGTTAGGCTTGTTCCATGGTGTTCTTGTGCCTACAGGTGCCTGTTCGATTGCAAATTCTTTTACAGTTGCATCTTTCAGAGCATTTGATAAGCACCTGACTCTGAGTCCCTGGCTCTCAATCCACTGCTCAATTGGCAGTTTGGCTCAAGTATACAGTCTTGTAACATATAGTTAACAACAAGTCAATAACGAACAAACTGGATCGCCGCCGCCGCCGCCGCCGATGTAGGGTGGAGCACTCAACGCGCCGTCGTCGCATGCGCCATCGAACAATTTGAGTCTTGCCGTGCCGGTGCTGGGAAGGAAAGGGGATCGAGGGGCAGCAGAAATTTGGAGTTGGAGACGACGGTGACGGCGGCGTAACGCGCAAGGCAATTCCAACTTTGTTAAGGGAGTTTTCCAAGAACGATGTACTGCGTCCGATCTAAATCAACGGCTCAGATTGACGCTGATAGAGACGTTTTTAGTAAGCCCCTTCAAATAGTAGCATATATATCTCAAAGTCCAGCACCATGATGTTGCCCGAGGAGCCGTCCGATCAAAATCAGACGGCTGAGATTGAGGCGGTCCGCGGTAGGCGTTTTTGCGTATATAACCCTTTCATTACCGTGATGGTCTCCGAGGAGTATATAGAAATAGAAAAGATAAGTCGAAAGGATCTCCGCCGAGAAAACCCTAATTCGAAGAACCGCGCCGCCGTCACCGTCGTCTCCCACGCGAGCATCTCGCGTCGATCCAGTCGAATCAGCGCCCCGCGTTCGATCTAACCTGCTTCGTGCCGTCGCAGGGATCGGAGCGCTCGGTTCCAGTAGAAGCGTCTCGGAGTTCAAGGCGACCTCGTCAGCCATGGCGGACGAGGAGCACCCGGAGAGGAGGGAGGAGGCCTCGGAGGTGAGCTGGTTTTTTCTCCGTCGCTGCGCTGATCGAGACGGGGGGTTTCAGTTAGTTCTAGTTCTAGTGCCGTTCGGCTGCTTGCCCTGATTCGATGCGGTTCTAGCTAGGGTTGAGCTTGCGAGTTGTGGGCTGGATTTGAGGTTCTGTTCCACCACATGTTTATGTATATTTTTTTCTTCTCCTACAGCTTGCCCCCTTTGATCCAACCAAGAAGAAGAAAAAGAAGAAGGTTGTCATCCAAGAACCTTCTGATGAAGTGGACACGCTTGCAGAGAAGACAGAAACATTGGCAGTCACAGAACCCGCTGAACTTAACTTCACTGGAACGAAGAAGAAAAAGAAGAAGCAGGTACGGCAGATACACTTGAGCTGGACTGGATAATCTTTAATGTTTAAGAATCAGAAAATGAAATGCGGCTGCACATTTATTCATTCCGCAAAATTTCAGGTGGATCTTGATTCAACTATTGCCGACCTTGCAGATGGGGAGGACACTCAAGGTGCATTTCACTTGTTATTAATCTAAACCTTGCTCTCATTGACTACTTCTGCAATATCTAACTCCCTGCTTTTCAGACGATCAAGCTGTAGAGGAACAAGGGGAAGGCATTGAGCTTGGAGGTGGCCCTACATACCCTTGGGAAGGAACTGACCGGGATTATAAATATGAAGAGGTGATTACATATTTTCTGCCAAATATTTTTCCCTTGTAAACATGGATATCTGTTTATCCCTTGGGAAGGGCAGGCTTGGTGCAGTGGTGAGAGCTGTCTCACTGAGTCACCAGATCACGGGTTCGAAGCAGCCTCTCCGCAGATTTTGCGGGGCCTCGGTTTTTCCCTTCCCCAGACCCCACTCATGTGTGAGCCTCCGGCACTGGGTCTGCCCTTTTTAGAAGGGCAGGCCTGGTGCAGTGGTGAGAGTTGTCTCACTGAGTCACCAGGTCGTGGGTTCGAAGCAGCCTCTCCGTAGATTTTGTGGGGGAAAGGCTTGTCTCGGCTTATCCCTTCGCCAGACCCCACTCATGTGGGAGCCTCCGGCACTGGGTCTGCCCTTTTTTTTTAAACATGGATCTCTGTGCATTAGTTTTTAATAGTAAAAATGTGACTATTTGGTAGCCTCTTGGCTTATATGTCACAATTGCCCCAGATCTTTACATCTTCGTGTTTCTAATGTTCTATGACATTACAACCACATTTTGTCGTTATGACTTGCATGCTATTGACACCTGTTTCTTTGGGTGCATTCAGATATGCATCATTCTTTATTATTATTAATTTTGGTTACTTCTTTTCGCTGTGGGCCTCCAATATATAACTACCTTGGAGGAACCAAATCACTACAGCGATGTGTTACCTTTTTGTCTCTGAAATTTAACCTTGAGCTTTTTCTGTTGCAGCTGCTGGACAGAGTGTTCAACATTCTTCGTGAGAACAACCCAGATCTTGCTGGGGATAGGCGTAGGACCGTTATGAGGCCACCACAAGTTCTTAGGGAGGGAACAAAGAAGACAGTTTTTGTTAATTTTATGGATTTGTGTAAAACGTAAGTTTCAACCTAATTGTGGCAGCATATTTTTAACTGATACTCTCTCACCTTCTTAAGTGCTCTCTGCTGCTCCAGTTGTTCAAATTACAATGAATTGACTTTTAACTGTATCTTCAGGATGCATAGGCAACCTGAGCATGTGATGATGTTTTTGCTTGCTGAAATGGGAACAAGTGGGTCACTTGATGGGCAGCAAAGGTTGGTGATCAAAGGAAGATTTGCCCCCAAAAACTTTGAAGCAATCCTGAGGAGATACATCAGTAAGTTATCCAATTTGATTGCGTTGATGGTTGTAGTATCCCTTTGTGAACAGATGGCATGTCATTCCTTTTTATGAACATACCTGCTGTCTGCTGATATGATTGAATAAATCTGATGGTTGTTTACTGTCTCTCCCTGTGACTCAATTTTTCAGATGAGTATGTCATCTGCAATGGATGCAAGAGCCCTGATACCATTCTGTCCAAGGAAAATCGTCTGTTCTTCCTTCGCTGTGAACAGGTAAAATATCTTGCAAAACCATGTAGGATGTGGGGCCTGCAGTTTTGTTGTGATAGATTTCCAACGGCTCTGGGAACATTTCGCTATTCCCGTTTCCTCACTTTATCCATGACTGTTTTTTGTTATACATTGGTAATTGAAGCCATTTATCCCATCATCCGTGTATTTTTCTGCCAATGATGAGTTGCAACTTTAAGGTTTAGGGTTGTTGATGAAAGTCTGATAAGAAGTGCAAGTTCTGAGGCAAACAATTCCACAATTCATTCCATGCATTATCTGCTATCAATGTTACCATCTCATATTTTGCTGCTCTAGTTTTGTGCATATTTAAGATCCTTTCAAAATGAAACAATTTTTGCTGACTTTTCTAGTACTCATTTTTGCCTACATTTGCGGATTGGCTTATTAGCCCTTGTTTGGTCCAGCTATTGTGTTCTAGACTATGATGAGTTGCAGAATCATTTGCCTACATTGTTTGAGTTTGTGATAACATCTGCAAAATCTGAGTCTTTCATTGATCATATTGGAAGACTAAATATTATACTCCCTCCAGGTTGGTAAAAGAAGTCGCTTTGGACAAAGTTTGGGTCAAACATTGGAAATATAAATCATGAATAACTTTTAAGTTGTTGAGTTTGAAAATGTGAAAACCACAAGAATAGATTTGTCGTGAAAAATACTTTCATAAAAACATACTCAATCCGTTCCAAATTATAAGACGTTTTGGCTTTTCTAGATTCATAACTTTTGCTACGCACTTAGATATACACTGTCTACATGCATAGTTAAAGCAATGTATCTAAAAAGCCAAAACGCCTTATAATTTGGAACTTAGGAGTACATGTATCACTTTTCAATAAATATTTTTATAGGAATAAGAAGTCAAAGTTATGCTTTGGAGACCGTGTCGCTGTCCAAAACGACTTCTTTTACCAACCTGAAGGGGAGTACCTTCTTGTTGTTGCCTTTTCATTCTCATTTCACTTCCATTCCATGTTGCTTTTACTCGGTGAACACTTCTAGAGTTCTAGTTGACACTTGCATGGAACCATAACGCCACTATATGGTTTTGCCAATGATGAATTGCAACTTTATTGCCTACATTGTTTGACTAGTCTTCTGTGATAAGAAGTGCAATTACTGAGGCTTAAATAGAGTCATAAATTTGTGCCATAATATATCTGCTATCAGTTTCACTATCACTTAATTTTATGTTTATATAGGTATTGTTGCTTATGAATATTATAACCTTGAGTTTTCTCCTACCAGCCAAACATTTCCCGTGCTGAAATTCGCTACTTCATTCTTGTGTGTGTTTATTCTTGTAGCCTATGATGAGTTGCAGAATTATTTGCCTACATTGTTTGAGTAAAACATTGATATTATCTGCAAAGTTCTGAGGCTATTCTTTGAAATCAGAATGGAAGACTCATATTTGATTCCAACTCTAATGGGCCATTTCTTTTGCTATCTATAGTGTGGATCTTCAAGGTCCGTTGCTCCAATCAAAGCTGGATTCGTTGCGCAAGTTGGTCGTCGGAAGGCCTGAACACAGAACAAAGCTTTGCATTATTAATCCTGTTGGCTGCCATATGATGTTAGAATGAGAGCTTGTGCTCCGTTTTGACAACCAATTTTGCATTGCGACCATTGTGGCCGTGTATTTCTTTTTTCTTATGTCATGTTAATGCAGGTGAGTTTCAGTTTATGATTTGCTTTATCTATATATGGCTGGAATTGGGGCCATACCAATTCAACAATATTAGATTATTTGCTGACAACAGATTGTGCTGTGCAATGTTGAGCAAGATCTGCCTTTGTCGCAGTTCTGTGGCAGATGGCTGAGTGTCATGCATCCTGATAAGCGAGTCTCCCTGCGATCATAATCCTGTGACAGCTGGCTATTATCAGTCTGTTAAACTTCTTCCTGCGGACACAAACACGAGTTCATCAAGATTTGTCCCAAGAATTTTTTTTAAAACAAAATGGATCATGAACATCAGAAGTTAATAACGCAAAGACTGACATTACAGTATTTATTATAAAATTATTTTTATATTATGTGTTCTATTTTAGATAAATGTTACTCTCTCCATTTAGGATAAATATGTTACATTTAATATTGCTGCGTATACTTAGGAGACGGGCTTTATTTGTATTGCATTCGGAGGATAATAATCTGTCCTAATAAGCTGTAAAGATCTTCCTCTGTCATGTAATTTCTTTAATTAACAGCCCTCCTTTTTTTTGCGATTAGTAGCCCTCCTTTTTAGCCGCCCTTTGTCATGTAATACAATCAATCCACACACTTAAATTTTTCCCTACGGATTCTATCTGATTTATTTAATAATCCTCCTTTTTAGCCTCCTCTAAAACCACCATATACATAACGAGTAGATTGTGTGAATTTTCATTTTTTTTAATTATCATCTTCTAATTTGCATGTTTTTCCTGATTTATTTAAATAAGCATTCTCTTTAGCTCCCTCTAAATCCACCAAACGAAGTCACCATGCACATACCATTAACGAGTAAACCATTCTCTTTAGCTCCCTCTAAATCCACCAAATAAAGTCACCATGCATACCATTTAACGAGTAAATTGTGTGAATTTCCATTTAAATAAACCTCCTCTTTAGATTTCCATGTTGGGGTACATACGTTTTCTTTTCTTTGGTCTAAAATTTAAATTTTCAATGTTAGGGTGCAGGCGTTTTCCTTTTAGTGGATGGAGGTGACTTTCGCTTGGCTAATAGTGTTATTAAAGCCAATCAAAGGATGAGAGATGCTCCCAACCAAACAGTGCCAACATTGCCTTAACATTTACCATTACCACATTTCACCTTATGAACATATTTTCGAGTACAAAAGCTAGAACCAGAGCTAATTGTCCATATCCGGTATTTCCATGCTAATTGTCCATAGACGATACAGAACCAGCGTCTCTTCTGCAAGTCACGTACCATAACATGTCACTAATCAAAATTTTAAGCACATTTTCAATGAGCTAAACATCCTTAGTCCTTCAGCCTAGAGCTGGATGCGTTCACCTCCTCAAGGATAGGCGCAGGCCTGACGTAGGTGAAGCCTGCGAAGTGGCTGTGCCCGCCGCCAGCGGGGGTGGTCACCGGAGAGTCCAGCACGGGCGTCTTCGTCCAGCACTCGTCGAAGTTGGCAATGCAGGTAAGCCCAGCAACATTCGGCCGAAAGCTCGGCTGGATCTGCCGGGCCTCCAGCTTCCTCCAATTGATTGGCTTGAACCACTTGTGGTTCTTTATCTCATTGCTGCCTCCGGGGCTGCTGCCCAGCCGCCTGTTGGGTTCCTTGTGCAGGAGCTGGAAAATGGAAGGGATGGAGAATGTGAGCTCAAATCAAGCTAACGCTTCTGCACTGATTAAATGAATGTAAAAGCTTACGCCTTTCAGAAGGGAATGAGCTTCACTAGACAAAAATGAAGGAAGCTTCAGTTTATCTTTTATAATCTTCTGCTGAACTTTGTCCCTATTCCCAACAAATGGTGGCTACAATGTGTTGCCAAGAGTATGACCAATTAGCAACGAAAGCAAATGAGAACATCTCATGAGAAGTTGAGAACCATGCAACTCACCTTGCCTGTAAGCATTTCAAAGAGCAGGATTCCCACGCTCCACCAGTCAGCAGCCTTATCATGCCCCCGGCCAAGAATAATTTCCGGGGCCATGTACTCAAGAGTGCCACACATCGAGTTTGATCTGGTATTTTCACAGAATTCCTTTGCAAGGCCAAAGTCTGTGAGCATGGCCTAGAAAGGTAGGGTGAATGATGAGATGTTAGCAAATGAGGAACTGGAAAAGGAAGGTTGACAGTCATCATCAGTGATTCTTACATGGCCATCAGCATCCAGAAGGATGTTTTCGGGCTTGAGATCCCTATGCATAATTCCATTAGCATGAAGATGCGCTACGGCAGATACAATTTCAGCTGTATAGATTCGTGCAAGCTCCTCCCTTGTTATGTAAAACCAGTTTAGTTTCAGTGCTAGTGTTACTGCCTTTTGGCAAATAAAACTACCTAGCAAAAAATGGAAGATACCTAAATAATCCTTGCTTGTAGAGCTGAAAGAAAAGATGCCCCCCGTTTATGAAGTCCAGGACAAGGTAAAGTCGATATTTTGTCTGCATAGTTAGAGCATTACAATCGAAAATCTGTACTAGGATTTCACCATACTTAATATATTTTTCCTGTACAGTGAATAAGGATGAGAGTATGCACACAAACAGTTTACCTGAAATGAGTACCTCAGCTGCACTATGAAAGGGTGGTCGACTTTTGTCAATATCTCTCTCTCGGCTTTCATATACTCAGAATGGTTTTTCTCTAATATCTTGTCCTTCCTCATAACTTTCATTGCATATATCTCCGAGGTGTTTTTCTTTCTCACCTGAAATACTTTACATCGAATGCCCCTTGGCCAACAAGCTTCAAGATTTCGAAAATCATCAAGCCCAACGCCTCATCCTCCGTCATAGCATTACCAAGCTCTTCATCACTGAGCTGCCCTTGGTCCCCTTCCTTTTCTTCTGAGAGGCACTTTACAAGTTCCGATGATCCTCAGTTTTTCCTAGACTAAGCTTGCTAAGTCGCAAGGAGCTGCTAACAAGTGATGTTGGACCAACAAGAGAATGGGATCGGTTGATGATGACAACAGGATCACTGTAAAATTCTTCATTGTACTCAACAATAGGTGAAGGACTGTCCGACCAAGACCACCAAGGTTTGTTGGTGTTTGGACCGGGTGGAACTAAAAACATCAGAGAAATCGTACTCGATGTTCTCTGAGGAAACAACATCTGGAGGGCCCATTGGGAGAAGTATCTTTACTGGGCAGAGGTTGGGGCCCTGTGCGAGGATTGCAGTCAGAGAGGATGGCTGAGAAGAAACCATTTCAAAAGCTTGAAAGCCTACAAACTCTTAGGCCAAGCTTCTACCACAGTGTCTAAATTAGGCTCCTTCCACTGAACCTTCCACCAGGAATTCCCAAGTATCCCGCGAAAAGGCAGAGAAAGATGATGCTGCTGTTCACTGTTGAATAAGGGATGTTGGATGCCAGTGCTTTCCCAGACCTCATGAAGCTGAAACAGACAAAGCTGAAGACAAAATAGATATTTGGTTAGCCTTGCCTTTTACCAGAAGAGGAACAGGAAAAAAGAATCATTTTTCATCACACAGTAGCTTGAAAAGAACTATTTTACAGAGAAAGCTACAATAACAAGTTACAAATCCTAGAAAGTTCGTGAAACTAGTGGCCTTACTAGGATTCCTACATTCATTGACATTGCAGATATATCTGATAACCCCACACCCCCTCCCAAACACACCCACACCAAAAAAAGAAAAGGAGAAAACCTGAATAATGCTATAAAAGCTAAACAAACATGCTATCTTGCGAATAAAAAATGTAGCTGAATGCTGTAAAATCTCCATAAGTAGGCAACGTTCTACAGCACTGGGTTATCAGCACCGCTTGCCTAGTGCATTAGAAACTCCAGCGCAGCAATCAACAAGCAAATGGGTAAGTATGCAACTTAGGAGCTGTTTGAACACTAAGTTTTCTTGGAGTTTTAGGAAACTACAGCGGTTTTCTAAAATAGTTGGATGCAACAATGTTTTCAAGTTGTCCGATTAATCGTGATTAGTCGGTCCGGTTGGTACCATGACCTCGATTAGAGACTTCACTCGATTAGCTTCGACTAGAAACCTGGTCGTCGTCCGACTAGTCGACGACTAATCACAATTAGTCGTCCGACCAGTGGGGCTACACAACCAGGTCAGCACCGCCTTTCTCTGGGCTTGACCGACCGGGCTTCGGTGTGTGAGTAGTTGGGCTGCCAATTTGGCCCACTAGGGTCTGTAAATATATATAGGAGGCCAAGTCTCTAGGGTTCCCATCTCTCATTCTCTCCGGCGTGCGTGGCGGCTCTTTTCTGCTCTGGTCTTTTCTCTTCTTTGCTCCCGCGTGCGTGACGGCCGTTGTTTGCTCTGCTTTTTCTCTTCTTCTGCTTCTCTTCCCCAAACCAAGACGCCTCTTGGTGAAGCTCTTCCGTGGCTCTGCGCCTCTGCTCCCCCCCTAGCTCACGAAGATGAGCTCTTCCTCCAATGATGGTAGGTGTGCCCACCGCCTGCATTTCAGACTTCGATCGGTCGTCCCGTCGACGACTAATCGCGACTAATCGTCTGTCGGTCCCATGGCGACCTGTAGTCGACTAGACGACTTCAAAACATTGGGATGCAATAACAAATCTTGTAGTTTAGAAAATCTAGATATTTCTAAAACTGTAGCCTTTTGGAGTCATAGATTAGAAATACACTTGGGATGCCATGCACCTACTCTATAAAACAAGCTGTTGATATCATGACTCTTTAAAAGACTGTCATCCAAACATGCCCTTAACAGCCTATAGGTAATGAAGTTGAACCATGAACAATGTGCTGAGAATCTTGATAAACTCTAATGCCTGGTCTGCCACTGCTAAAACCAATATCCCTTGAATGGCACCGAATTAAATTGTTAATCCCTACGGCGTGACGGTTTTAGTAGTGACAGATCAGACCACCAGGGATTAGACTAGGAGCACCATGACACATCCACAGCCATGAATGAATGAAGCTTTAGAGCAAAACAAGGACCATCAGGTCCCAAAACTTAGCTCCAAAATTTTAGAATAGAGGCACAACCCCTGCTTTTATAGAAAGCAACAAATTACATGATTTTTTGCTTCCTGACAATGCAGGACCTATGCTTATATTCTAAAGGTTTACCAAATCCTCATTAATCTGACTATCCTAGCGACGCCATTAAGAGATACTCTAGGCATGTACTCTCCAATCCTATCATCCTATACATATTATCCTGTAGCAGTTGCTAGTGTGCACCAAATGAAATCACATAGTGTGGGTCTGTGGGATCCCGGCTCGGCTGGCTGCCAACAAGCTCGTAATTAAGCGCAGTTCAGATACCTGCATGGGCAAACGATTGGCAGCCCAGCGGCTCCGGCCAAGGCAATCAAACAATTGGTAAAATCGCTGCTCTCCTTCCCAGCACAACCACATGCCCACATCCAAATGACAAAATCGTAACAGCGCAAGCAACCAATCCGCCAAAAAAAATAGGGACAGCAGGATTTGCATGGGGGAATCGAACAAGGGAACCGATCAAGCGAAAACTACGGGCGAACATGCCAGGATCAAGAGATCGAACCGTTCGTTATCTCCGGAGCCCGCGGATCGCTAGCGAGTGGGAACCCCTGTGTGTGACGAAACACTCGTGAAAAAGATGCGGGATGCGGCGCAGGCGGAGGAGGGAGCGGGGGAATTCCGCGGTGCTACCTCTCGCTGATGGAAGATGGGGGCGCGCTCAGCTCCGACCTCGGACCTCCGACCCGCTCTTCTCCTTCGGGGCGCGCCGCGCGCGGGTTGGTTGGTTGGTGGCGGGGAGTGGGGAGTGCCGAGGAGGAAGGAGGGAGGGGAAAGCGGCAGGCTGGGATGGGGGCGTGTGGCTTCCGAAATGGCGCACGTTGGGGAGCACGCCAGTCCAGGCACGTTGGCGAAGGAGGGCCCACCGGTCAGTGTCAAACGGTGGGCCAGGGTCTGTCCAGCCGCCAGGTTGGTGACGTCTCCATCTGGATCTACTCGATGCTCGTTATCTTTTTCCGACTCGCGGGAAACCCTGTTGACCAACGGCACGCCAGCGGAGTTTTCACTGGAGACGGGGAGCCGTCAGCGGTCAGCCCGTCACTTCGGTTGGTGTGACGAGCCCAGGTCGGCAGTGGCCCAGCTGCACGCTGGGCCGAGCCCAGCTAGCTAACGCTACGCTTCTGCTAAAAAAAAAAAAACACTAGCGCTGCGCTTGTATAGCTATCTCACTCACTTTGTCACTTGTTTGTTTCTAAAAAAAAAACTTTGTCACTTGCAATAACCTTGTGTCTCACACTCACACTTTGTGTCCATTTTTTATTACGTTGTTCGAATTGGCAAAGTAATTAGATATTTGACACATGTACGGAGTATTAAATATATATTATTTACCTAAATGTATCGATTGAGACTAATTCGCGAGACGAATTTATTAAGCCTAATTAGTTCATGATTTGACAACGGGTGCTGCTGTAAACATGTGCTAATGAAGGATTAATTAGGCTTAATAAATTCGTCTCGCGGATTACTGATGAATTCTATAATTTATTTTTTTATTAGTATCTAAATACCTCATGAGACATTTGATGTGACATAAACTTTAGTTCCTGCATCCCAACACAAACACCTAGAGGCAGCAGCCGCCTTGCCTGCCACTGCCACGTTTCTTGGGTCATTCTTGAGTGGGTTCAGGTGAAAATAGTACTACTATAGTAGTGCGTCAGACCGGTCCACTGTGACATTTGATTTGCCTATATAGAGTCTGTTTGTTTGTCTGAATTCTAGAGGAATTTGGATGGTTTGGAGCAATGTTGAAGAAATTTGTGAGAGGAAAACACTGTTCCGAATGAAAAAAATAAACGGATCAAGCCAGGTTTAAGAGCACGCGAACGAACCATAGTACGTGCCCGGACCCAGAAGGAAAAAAAGGGAATAATGATACCTTTTCTGGATTTTTTTTGTTGTTGTTCGGTGCAATGGCTGTGAGGCTGTGAACGGAACTTGGATGTAAAAAAAAAAACTCGGTCTACAGTGAGCAGACAGCCCCGTGCAACTTTATCGAGAAAACCTCTAAATACCGTGTCTTGTTACCCTATGAGTGGGCTGAACTCGGGACAGACGAGAGGATTTGGACCGTTGCCTGTGTTTTAGGAAATTCGGGACAGACGAGAGGAGCGAACGAACGCACCCGTGGGTTCGAACCCTGCACGCGAGAGGACGTCCCGACCATCTGGTCTGAGGAGCCGCTGGTAACGGAACTTGGATGTACACGTAGGAGAGTACACCTTCCGGAAGCCCGGTGGAGTCCTCGGTCGCTTTACGCCACGTTGCTCCACAGACCACGAGCTACTCGTGCGTCCGTCCGTCAGGTGCACAATCATGGCATGTGATATGATATGCTGCCTGCCATTTCTGTACGTGACCTCGCTGAGCGCATGCACGAACGACGCTTCGTTGGACTGCGGTGTGCCGTGCGTGCCGGCCCCAGTTCATTTTCGAAACCTGCGCGTCTACGAAACCTCACAACCTTTCCAGCTACCGCGCCGTGCCCACCTTGCCCGGGGCCCGGCGGGCAAACAATCCGCTGGGGCTGGGGCCTCGCCGCCGCCTCGCGTTTCCCCAGTCCCCACCCGGGCCGCGTGGCCGCGGACGAACGCGGCCCGCGGAGCCATCAAGAGCAAAGCAGCCGCGTCGGCCGCCTGCCGGTGCCAGCCCTAGTCCCGTCGCGGTCGCCCGGTGCACACCTGGAGAAAACGCCAGCCAGTCCAGGTTCCAGTCCAACGGGTCACCACCACACGCTCGGCTCGGCTTGGCGGTGGGGCCATCCACCACGCTGGCATCCAGAAGGGATACGGTTCCAATCCTACGTGCGCGCCCGCCCCCACCCGCCCGCGCGGGATGGAGATGGAAGACGACGCGGCGGCACCCGCGGCTGGCGTCGGCGACACGGTCTCTCGCCACTCATCCAGTCCCCTCCTCGGCCCCGCGGCGACCTGGCCCTCCTTCCTTCCCTCACCCGGTGGGCCCCAGCCTACAGGCAGTGGACGTCTCCACCAGACCACTCGTTCTCGTTGAAGTGGTCGCTCCACACCCGCCGCGGCTCCCTCCTCCCCCTTTCTCCTTCGCCTCCGCCCTCCGCGTATAAATATTTGCCGAGCACGCGCCATGACCTCACCCTCCGCTCCGCGCCTCCGCCCCTCTTCTTTTTCTATTGCTCCCCCGGCCCTGGCCCCGGCCTCTCCACACACGTATCCGCGGAGGCGGAGGAGCTGCCGCTCAGCGAACTCGGCGCGCCCATCCCGTCTCCCTTTCGCGAATTGTTCGGCCGGGTAGGCGCGGCCGCAACCACCGCGAATAGGAGCCGGAGGAAGCGTATAAAGCCAAGAACTCCCGGGAATTAGAGTTGGAGGAGCAGGTGGCGACGACACGACGGACAAGGCGCACCTACAGGAGCGACGAGGGAAAGGGGAAAGGAGAGGTGAGTGCCCGGCTCTGTTCTGTTCCAATTCTTGGACTTGCCTGCCTGCCTTCTCTTTCGCGCGCGCGCTGCTCTGCTCGTTTCTTGGTAGTACACTACTTCGGATTGCATGCGATTCTCTTCTAGAGTGTTCTGGAATTCCCGATTTGATCCTGGATTGCATGCAGTATAGGGCAGTAAAACTGAAGAACTTGGTTGGAATGCGCTTGTGTCCTCAAACACCTGTTTTTCTCTTGCTCTGTTCAAACACGAGTTACTAAGGAGTACTAGGCAATTTCTCTCCTGCAAATTGGAATCCTGTACTTAAGTAGCACAAGCTAACTGAAATGGCCAGTGGGCTAACAGCTGTTTTAATGCTTCCCTCATTTATTTATTTATTTTTTTAAAAAGTGGCAGCAAATGAGCGTTTTCACTTTTCAGTGCACTTAGTATATTTACCAAAAAGAACAGTTCAAACGTTTCCTCCTGAAAACCCAAAAAAGAACAGTTCAAACGTAGCGGTCGCTTTTATTAGTACATGCCTACCATTCTGTCTGTGTCATTATTCGCACTTAAGTCAGACTTTGCCTACCAGACGTCGTTACATACAGGCACAGAATTTGTCTGCTAGCAAGCAATGTACAAGGCGCAATTTTTTTTGACAGATACATGAACTGATGAACAGAATGCTGATGGTGTTTCCCTGTTGTTTACTTTTGACGCCACAGGAAGCGTTCTCCGATCGTTGACAGCTCCTCTCCTCCGGATGTCCTGGGGGCCTGCAGGCCCATGGAAAATTCAGACGCCAGAGCGGTTCGCCGCGTGAGGTGCCCGAGGTGCCACTGCGTTCTTGAGGAGCCCAGCGCTCCAGTGTACCAATGCGGTGGATGCGGCACGACCCTTCGAGGTTAACCTCACGTCCCAATCCCATTTCGATTCCTGGAGCTCGCATTTGGATTGGATGCTTGCTCTGTTCTCAGAGGCTTTGGTTTGGTTTGGTTTCTGACGGATTCTCCCGTACGTGCTCGATTCTACAGCAAAGAACCGCACCGGCACCGGCACCGGCACCGGCACCGGCGCGGGAGACGCGGCCAGGGCGTCGCCGTCGCGGAGCGGGCTGCCTCCTCAGAGCAGGCACTTGGACGCCAGCGACGTCGCGAGCACCAGCAGGTCCAGCACCCCGACCCCTCCTCATGTCGGGAGCACCAGCAGGTCCGGCACCCCGATCCCTCCTCATGTCGGGACCAGCTGGCACCGAGCCACCGACGCGACAGGCAGCCGGCACGGTTCCGGTGATCTCGCTCTCGTGTCGGCCGGGACGCGTGGGTCCGATGACGTCGCGAGCACCAGCAGTACTCCTGACGCCACCGCGAGCAGCAGGCGCCAAGGCACCGACGCGACGAGCCGGCGCGAGTCCGGTGGTGTCGTGGTGTTCGCCGCGAGAAGCCGTGGCTCCGGCGACGTTGCTAGCACCAGCAGCACTCCTGACGCCACCGCGAGCAGCAGGCCCCAAGGCACCGACGCGACTAGCCGGCGCGAGTCCGGTGGTCTCGTGTCCACCGGGAGGAGCCATGGCTCCGGCGACGTTGCCAGCACCAGCAGCACTCCTGACGCCAATGCCACCGCGGGTAGCGGGCGTCCAGGCGTGGACACGACGAGCCGTGGAGAGTCCGCTGGTCCCGTGCCGGCGACGAACCGTGTCTCTGAGCAAGTGGCACTGATCGAGAAGAGGGAGCGCGAACAGAGCGCGGCCGGTCAGGAGCTCCGTGACGACTCCGAAGGCTGCAGACCGAGTGATGCCGATGGTGCAGAGCCCGGCGCCGATGGTGCCGGCTTCTCCGGAGGAAACAGAGATACCACTCCTGAATCGCAGGATGACACAGAGAAGGGGATGAAACGCCATGCAGAATCAACCGATGCTGCCAGAAAGAAACATTCTGGTGGAGCTGCAGTGCAACCGCAGTACCACCATGTGCATCGCCAAGAACTTGTGCCGAAATCATCAGCTCAACCCGCAGCTGCTCAACCTGCACGGGATGATGCTGATGATGCCGGCGAAAAGGCGCTGAGTCCATCTCGCCATGAGCTTCAAGAAGAACATCTGGGGCCCTTGCGGAAGAAGATTCTGAAGACGGTGGATGAGCTGAAAGGCGACCTGTCTGAACTTTTCAGCAACTCCCCAGAGCTCAATCCGCCACGCGCGCGCCCTCCTCGTCTTCCCAAGCAAGAAGGCTACGTGTCTCGTGCGCCGCCGCCGGCGGCGGCCTCGGGCCTCCCTGCCAGAGTTCGTCACGTCGCTTCTGCTGCCGACGGTCACCGTGGCAGCGCAGGTCGTGCGGTGAAGCCCCGTCAAGCCGCGGCCCCTCCCCGTGGGTTGCCGTCCCGGCGCTACCGCCAGTGCAGAGCACACCCGTGCTGCCATAACGTGGAGCCGAGGCCGTGCCATCACGGCCACGGCTGCTGCCGCCACCACGGCAAACCGGAGTGCAGCAGCTGCCGAGGATACTGCTGCAGGCCCAGAGCGCAGGAGCCGTCCGCGCCACGGAAGCCACCGGCAGGCAAGGAGCCCAAGCGGCGCCTGCCGCCCCGCAACCACTGCCGGCCGGTGCTGAAGGGCGCGCCGTTCATCGTCTGCTCCAGCTGCTTCAAGCTGGTGCAGGTGCCCGCCGACTTCGCCGTCTCGACCAAGACAGTGCGCAACCTGCGTTGCGGCTCCTGCTCCACCGTCCTCTCCTACTCCTACAGGGACCCGGCCAGGAAGAAGGCCTACCAGGACTCCGTCGACCGGTGCAGCACAGATGGCTCCGAGCTGCACGGCGGCAAAGGCGACGAACGATCCGACCCGTTCGCGCCGTTCATCGATGCCTTCGGTCTCAGCAGCTACTCGACGGAGGACGAGCAGCGGCTGCCCGTCTCGAGGAACACGTCGTTCGACACCCTCGACGGGACGAAAGCCGTGGGGCGGCTGCATCGGCTGATGGGGTACGGGTCAGCTAGCGAGCTGCTGCGCCACTCCCCTGACCTGTACGAGAGCTTCAGCGAGCGGACGACGCCTGACGTGAGACAGCACTACACGAAAGGGAAAGGCGTTTGCATCGACGACGACGACGATGACTACGACGTCGATGACTCGGACGAGGAAGACGTTGGTGCGCTGAAGAGATCAGTGGGGAAACGGTCTGGCTGGCCGCTCCCATGGATTCCCGGCAAGGGGACTCCAGCAGCTGGAGCCATCAGGATAAAGTAGATAGCAGGAAAGGCTTGTGTATATTGCAGGAATAGGTTCAGGTTTTGGAATTCGAATTGGAATTCTCATAGTTTTATTACTATTCATTTTAGGTGCGGTATTGGATTTATAGGCTGTTTGTTTGCCATTTTTTTTGGAGCGTGAAAATGCTGTACAATGAAATGTAAATATCCAGCATCGAGTCTCAGAAAGAAGCATTATGGCTTTGTTTGGGAACAAGAAAATTGAAGGTGCCTGAATGAAGAAGCCGAAGTGTATAAGAAAGGACTATTGCAGTATATTTTTTTTCAAAGATAATATTGCCGTAATTTGAAAAACAAGAACTACAAACAAGAATTTGTTTGCATGAAGTGCAAGAAGAGACAAAGTTTGCATGAACTACAAACAATGGCCTCGTTCTGTTTGCTGAATCTTGGCTGAAATTGGCTGAAAACATTGTTCTGGCTGAAATGTTGTGAGAGAAAAATACTATGTAGATCTCTCTGTACTATCTGCAGTCATAAAAAAATCGTTTAGGAGTTGGAACAAACTTTTGTAGTCAAACCATTAAAACTACAAACATAAATATCGTTTAAATATTTTAGTTACAAAAACAAGCAAGTTACATGTGTAGAGTTGCATTGAAAAATATTTGCAAAATCTCAAAAAAATGAAGGATTTTACAACATATCTTTATATTATAGATAGAAGAAAGAAGTGGTCATACATGCAGGTATAAAGAAGAGGTAGTTGACCAGAAAATTGAAGGATTTTACAATATTTTATACATGCAGTTGACCTGTCAAAGACGGCAAAATACAGTATTTCTCAATCAAGAATATAAAATCGTTTTTTTGCTTTCGGTCCAAGTCATCTTATCATCGTTTTTCCGTAATCTGTTTTTGCTTAAGCTTAAAACCCGGAAAAATCATGAAAACAATCTCCAGAAATTGAGAATTATCGTTTTCGTTATCACCCCAATCACCACGCAGGTTATAGGAGATTAATAGGAGGAAAAAGTCCACATTACCTCCATAAATTTTTGCAAAAGTCTGTTTTTCTTTCTGAACTCTGAAACCGGGTAAACCACGTCCCTGAACTTTTAAAACCGTTCGTTTACCTCCCTGACCGGTTATAAACGGTTTTTAAAGGCGGTTTTATCTTTTTCTTTTATATTTATTTCGGCTGAATCTTTGAAAAATCACAAAAAAAATCATAAAATAGAAAATCCAATTTTGTTGCACTCCACATGAGTAGATCTACATAGTAAACATATAATATGGTATACTTTAGTACAATTTTTTTTCTGTAGCCTTAGATTAATGTTTTTCTGTAATTAATTCATAGCTGCAGTTTCTACGGTTCAATTGTGGTGAAATTTTTATGATGTGCTAATTATTGTATGCTTGAACTGTAGTAAAAATTTTATACTCATTGGATCATATATAACTTCGTTATAGATTTATAAATATTTTAAATCTATAATTAAGTTATACATGATTGGATGAGTATGAAATTTTTATTACAGTTCAAGCATACAATAATTAGCACACCATAAAAATTTTACCATAATTGGACCATAGAAACTACAGCTATGAACTAATTATAGAAACGCATAGATCTAAAGCTACAATAAAATATTTGTACTAAAGCATACCATATTATATGTTCATTGTATAGATCTACTCATGTGCAGTCCAACAAAATTGAACTTTCTATTTTACGATTTTTCTGTGATTTACTATGATTTTTCAAAGATTTAGCCGAAATAAATAGAAAAGAAAAAGACAAAACCGCCTTTAAAAATCGCTTATAACCGGTTAGGAGGTAAAACAAACAGTTTTAAAAGTTCAGGGATGTGGTTTACCCGGTTTTAGAGTTCAGAGAGGAAAACCAGACTTTTGCAAAAATTTAGGGAGGTAATGTGGACTTTTTCCTTATTAGCAAGGGGGAGAAATAAACTAGGCTGACTTTTTCATAGAGTTGGGCCTGCTCGATGTCCAACCTGGGCCTCCCTTCCTCCCCGTGTCTTGGGCCGATGTCAGGCTATCGGTGCCGAAGCTGATTTGGACCCTATAGATTCCCTACCCCAAAAGGCCTAGGCCCTAGTTTTCAGTCGTGCCGTCCAATTGAAATAAATAAAAAACTAGCTGATCTATCAACCCAATCTGGAACATGGAGATTGATCCGGTCAACGGAGGCGTCAGAGTTACGTTGGGGCATTAGGCAACGGGCCGTCCGCGACGGCCGCGAGGCAGAGGATGCCCGTGCGATGGAGGAGGATCCCACGCGCCGTCGACCCCCCGGAGAAGGTAGGGATGGTGAGGCTGCCGGAGTTGGTACGGAGGAGGGCGGGGTAGTCAGAGGAGTTATGGAGGGCAACTCTGAAGGGAGTGAAGAAAATTGCGCCGACTTACAGGGCTGAGAGGTATGATCCGTCCCTTCCACGGGCCGTCTGTAGGAGACGAGAATAGATTAGAAAATTTCGTCGACTTTCAGGGCTGAGATTGTGTCGGATCAGAAAAATCCACCGACTTTCTGGGTTGTGATTGTGGCGGATCGAAAAATTCAGCCCGACTTTCGTGGTTGTGATTAGGCGGATCGTAAAATTACGCCGACCGAGAGGTATGATCGGTCCCGTCCCATGGGGTCAATTGCATTGGGTCAGCTGCAGGAGAGACCTCCCATTCTTCACGTGGACATGAAGGTGGTGGAAAAGGGTCAAGGGAGTGGGGGAGATGGAGGAGAGGTCAAAGCGGACGATGTTAGAGGAAGCTATGGTTTCGATGTGGAAAAGCAAACCATTTCTATTATAAACATTCTATTTGGAGGAGGAAGCGAATGATGGTCTCTGTGACACGCGGAGTACACGGAGGAGGACAAGGTTGAGTTTCGTGCTTTGAAGCTCAAGTTTGCCGCTTTCTACCGCAAGATGACTACCACTAAGCCTCGTGTTCGGGATATATAAACCACCCAAATGCACAATGTAAGTATTGCTATTGTCGATGACTAATCATTAGCAGCTTATGATATGTCATTACTTAGTTAGGCTATATTGTTATCACAGTAGCATGCTAAGGGCATGTACCACCCACATCCGTGGTCTTATCGCGGTGAGTTCTTGGGAACTCGCGTGTAGACAGCTAAACTCATCTATTTGTTTGTCTACCAAATGTTTAATGCATGCATGCAACCATGATCAAGAATGATAAGTTCGTTGTATGTCATTTTGTTGCTCTTTGATGCAATTTAGATTGAGAATAAGCATAAATGACATGAACGCAATATAATAGGATATATTAATAAATATATAATGTGTAATAGGTTATTATAAATTAATTAAAATATTCATCCAATACACACATGCAGCCTGCAACAAAAGAACTGGTGTGACCAAACTGCATGTTTGCTTGGAGACATTGCATATTTAATAAACCTAAACACCCATGCCAACTCCTAGACATCGCAAGAAAATTACATGGCATCTAACATTCATCTGTGATACTTTATTCATCACGAGCAGATCAACACCAAGCTAGAAATAGCAGCTCACATCCTCAATTTTCCCACATGGCATACAAAAGATGCATGCGTGATCACACCCGACAATACAGCTTTGAGGAAGTATTCTAGCAGCTACATGCATGGGGGGGATGCATAGCCAACAAAGATAAATGTTTGAGGGTTTTGAGGCTTCCATGCATAACAATGCCTTTGTACTAAGTGGACCTAATACCTGTGTCATTGCATGTTGAGTTAACAATCTTTCAATACTACTTGAACACAAGCAATACAACTCAAGAAACGCATGACTTTGGACTTCTCTAGTTTGGAAACTACCACTGAGTAGTCCCATTGCTAGTATTTTTCAGATAGTATGCTATGTTATTCCATGACTAGGGGGCTCATATTGGGTTTCAACTCTAGCCTACCCCAACTTGGGACTAAGAGACTTTGTTGTTGTTGTTGTTGTTGTTGTTGTTGTTGTTGTTGTTGTTGTTGTTATTCCATGAAATCATTGCATTTTACACTAACCTGTTAACCATTCAAACAAGTGTGATATCTACTGCATAATCTGAATCCAACTATTTTTGAATTGCCGGACGTTGTTTGGTCACACAATCACACCAATTTTTTAGTCAAAGTTATTGTGTTTGTAAATTCACTCAAGCACAAGGGAGTATGGTTCCACTAACTATGTCTAAGTTATCTATTAAGAGCTACCTTAATTTTATTTTTAGGCAATCAGTCCATGCTTTGTTCTAGATTTTAATGATGTGTGGTAGAACTAGTTAATATTCAACTATGTGAATTGAATTGTACAAAATGGCACTCTCACATTTTATGGCATGTTCAACCCTATTACATTTATGGTTTATTTAGTTCCAATTAAGCAAACTTCAACTTGCAGTGAGAAGCACTTAATTGCTGAAGAGGCAATCAGATATTTCTAGATGGCCAATTTACTCTCATGCACAACACTTTGCCATTCTTGCTTTTGAGTGGTACAACTCTACCAAGAAAACGGTATGTTACCTCTTTATAAATAGACAGTCTATTTGGCACTACATTCTTCTTAGCAACTATTGTGTTGTCAAATGATGCAGCATAAGTTTGAGATTGCAAAGGTGTTGTTGTCTAAGTGATCCACCGACGTAGATTACACCACGTATGCCCACGTGAACTTCATTGCGACCCCCACCCCACACTCACACTCAACTAAGAGATTATTCTTCGCTGAGCTCATGCTGGTTCCAAATCTTCAGGCGTGTAAGAATACTGAGCCTATACATGTCCTCAGTGTATCCACCATCGACGACTGTTGCTTTAGCGAGTGGTTCAGTTTAAGTCTTTTCATTGTTGAGTCTTGGCTCAACTATTTTTTGGTTAACCGTTTTGCTTGAAATATTGTTTCATGTGAGTTTCCTACATTTGAAGCTGTCGATTAGTTTGGACCGTTAGCATGTGAAAATTGTTATATCTTTTCATGTGGGTGTACATTTTCTACGTTTGGGTTGTTA